AAAAGACAATAGTTATTTAGAAACATACCTCTTCCTCGAACTGTGATGTAGTTTTGTTCTCTCTCTTTTTCCTAGCATTTTGCTTCATCTCAACCCAATTTCTTTTTCGTTTAGCACTTTTTGTTTCGATATCCTTTTTCTTTAGGCGTGCATTAGCCAAGTCATTTGGTGGGCTAGCATTTGTGGGAATAGTACATGGGTACCCAGATGTGCTTGTACATGCACTAATTTTTTCTTCAATCTGCTTACCAAGCATGTCAAGTGTGCTATCTACTAACACGATGCATTCTTGAAAGTTGGATGCTCGATGTGCCAAATTTTGAAATTTGAGGGACATATATCGGTAGCCAAGAATGGCATCCATATTTGGATTTGCGATTATATTTCTTCCCATGTTGTCTTGTACAGTTCCGCTTCGTGCTTCTCGTGACCATCGCTTTAACACATAATGTGCCGGTAGTGACTTGAATTCATCAAATCAAGAATTTTCAGGGCATGGCCACATAATATCCCAATTCTATCAAACTGCCGGCAGCTGCACTCAACTATTTGCTTCGAAGGATCGCCGATAACTTTATACTCCTCCTCATAGGTAAAATCTCCAACAAGATATTCATTACAACCATCCAATGCTTTGGTACAAGCTGATAAGGATATTTCATATTCTCCTTGAAAAGCTTCAAATATACATGGTGTGTACAACTTGCTAGCTTGCACCAAATAGGTGGTGGTCTCTTCATAAATAATTTAGGCAACTTTTTCCTTGATTCAAATTCTGAATTTAGTTCATTAATCCTTTTCCCTTGCACAACCCTTTCAAAATACTTAAAGAACCGGATGATATCAAAATCAGATTTGAAATGGATTTTCAAGTCATTGTTCAAACTCTCACTCAATTGTGTACTTCTCATTCCTAATGTGAAGGTGTCCTTCATATAACATTCAACCCATTTTTCTTTTAACTTATATATCCTATCCAACCAGGTTTGCTTACTCACCTTTTTCCTCATGAGGTCAAACTTCTGTTCAAATTCTGCAATGTCTTCATACTCAAACATGCACGCGCTAAAATCAGATAGAATACTTGTGTCTTCATCCTCCTCTTCATTCTTCTCTTCATTTTTCTCTTTCTTCTTCCCTTTTTTCTTCCCCCTTTCTTCTCTTTTTTCTTCTCTTCATTCAGCTCTTCATCCTTCTCTTCACGTAGATGTTTGACAGCATTTTGCATAATGTGAAAGGTGCATAATCCATGCCATGCTTCTGTAAACACTTCCCCAACTACCTTTCCCATTGCAACATCTTGATCGGTATAGAATGTTTTAGGCCCCTTTCCTTTATGAGCTATTAGAAAGGCCTCAAACAACCACTTGAAGGATGCAAATGTTTCATCATACATGAGAGAAGCACCAAAAACTACAGTTTCTCTAAAATGGTTGAAACCGACAAACACACCAAAGGGTTTGCTCTCCTTATTTGTTCCAAAAGTAGTGTCAAAACTGACAACATCACCAAAATGTGCATAGTCCATGATCATCTTTGCACCGGCCCAAAATATGTTTGCTATTTGTTCTTCACAATCCATTTGCAATGCATATTGGAATGACGGGTTTTCAGCAATTTTGTCTTGAAAATATTTAAGCATGCTACCTTCTTGACCATATGCCATTTCTCGTTGGCGCTTGGTACGCAAGTAGTTCTTGTGATCACGGAGGGTATAACTAAGATTGAGTGATCCAGCAACTTGGCGACTAGCCAATTCATGTGCAGCTTTTGGCCCAATTCCTGCATCATCCGCCGTTTCAATTTCAAATGCTTGCAACTCTGAAATTTTCCTTTGTGATACCATTAGGTGTAAGGTTTCTGGCAGGTGTAGTGTGTGATTGCGTTCCAAAACCAACTCAGACACTTTCAGATTTTCCTTCTTTCGATCCATTTTAAGATTCATGTAGACTTGACAATCGGTTCTAGTTTCAGCTCGAGGGCACTTTGTTAAATAATCCCTTTTGTCTTGTGTTCGATGACCTTCATTTGCGCAAACAAATCTACATGATGTAACCATGCCATCTATTGGCCTCTTGTTTGTATACCTTTTTCTGACCTCGAATCCTTTTTGTCCACTGTAGGTAAGCCAAAATGCCCATGCCTCATCTGAATTTCTAAATTCCATGCCAATATGAGGTACCAAACTAGGCAATACAACTCTGTAATGTAAATGACATGAACATTAGACTTGTGAAAGTGCATAGAAAATATTGAGACTTATAGTCACTGGAAAAAGATTTCCATAAGAGGATAAACAAAGAATAGCGTAATTGGGGATACGAATAAAATCAAGAAAAATTAGTATACTTGGGATAAGAAAATTTACTTATTAGAATTAGAATCATGGTGCACTGTATCAGCCTCTTCTTCCCTCTCAGTTGCTTCTTCCATCAGGAAAAGAATGCTTGATCGGAGTTCAGCAGACTACTTCTTTCATCAGAAAAAGGGATGCCTAATCCGAGTTTAGCAGGATACTTCTTCCATCACAAAAAGGGAAATTTGATCAAGCTCTAAAGTAATCTGATGGTCGAAGTTCAATCAATTTCAGAAAAAGGGATGCCCGATCCAAGTTTAGCAGGCTACTTCTTCCATCTGAAAGAACTATGGAGACTTACGTGAGATCGAGGAGCAGAGCAGCCGGTCGGGCGCCAAGGATCTCCTTCCGATCAACTTTGGCGTTGTTTCTGTACTGCTGGCGCCTTTTTCTGTGGCCTCTCGCGCCTTTTTCCCTGGCTTCCCTCGCTTTCTTCTCGCTAGCGTCAAACTGGGCCGATGGGCCGTGTATTTCCACTTCCATCTGAGTGGAAAGCTGGAACAGGTTGTAGTTACTGCTAATATCGTTGGATGCCTGATGGACGGTGCAGTGGGAACGACGTCCCTCGGTAGTAGAACGAACTAAGTCAGAGGATCTCGTTCCCATTTTAGCCTAATATGCATGTGAGCAAGTGATTATCTGCTGCTAAAATGTTGTATTTTAATGTGTTGGCCCTCCCCAATACAGTTTAACAGCCCTCGGCCCCCTCATTTGATTTTTCTGGCTCTGCCACTGCTCCCAGGGTCAGTTTTTATCTTGTTCTGGTCTATGTAGCCTTTGGTGGCTGTCATTGTTGTTGATCTAGTTTAAGTTTTGCGGATATTTGGTCTTGTCTGCCACGTGCAACCATTTAGAACTCTAGTTTATTTCGGCCTATTTTTTTTCTTGATCAAGACACGCATCTGGACATGAGGCTCATTTGTGGTTTCATTAGCACTAGCAAATATGCCCGTGTGTTGCAACAGGAGAGAAATAATTAGATTATGTCGATTATGCTAGGATGAGATAAGGACGTTCAAAATGTCATTTCATAAACTACATCTGAATCATGTCATGATGAGAAAAGTGTGATAGTCTCATCATGACTTGATTTCCTATAACATCACAACGAAATAATTTTGGCTAAGCAAAATGCATTGATGGACTCTGCCTAGTTAGATTAATGAATGATGTGTCTCGTCTTGACCTAGCATCGCGGTGTTTTCCATGACCAGTAAAACCGTGGTACCAGAAAAACATAGCTATGTATCGAGGCAAATTAGACATTTAGTTATTTTTATATAGTTACAAAAACTAACCCATATGAACTTGTGTCAATTTTTTTGGGATCAATGCTGTACATAACACGTAAACAATTTTTTACCCGACGCGCGATGGATTCAATAAAATCATATAACAACCTCTATAGATCCCCTAAAAACACCTCTATGTAAGCGATGGTTCGTTTTGTTCGTTATTTACGGATCTATTTCAATGGATCCGTTTGATATTTTGTGAATATTTCCTAAACTTTTATGGATTTTTTTCAGATTCCCAAAAATGTTTTGAATACACAATCATTTTTTAAAAATCACGAACATTTTTATTTCATGAATATCTTTCCAAAATCGTGAATTTTTTATAATATGTGAACAATTTTTTAAATCACGAACATTTTATGATTTCAAACATTTTATGATTTCTCGATTTGTTTCTCAAGACTTGCATGGGCCGGCCCATGAACGCGTCCCAGGCATGGGCCATCATTCAGTTTCCTTCATAAATTTCATGATAAAGCAGGAGTATTGATGATTATCACTTGCTGCTAAATGCGTATTTATTTTCATGGGTTAGCCCTTTCTACTAACATTGTTTAACAACATTTGAGGCCTTTGATACAAATAGAAGGACAATGTGTGCTTTCGGTGCCACTTATGTTCTTGGGGTAGTACATGTTTTATTTTTACGTGGTAGTTTTTCTAAAATTGTGAAAATTATTTATGTGCTAGTTGGTTGGCGTGTGGAAGAAACAATGGGGTGTTCTTGTTAGCAGAGATGCCACACTTACGGATAGACTTTACAGATTTATGGTTGTGAATGGATGTGTCGATATATTAGGAAAAGAGTAGTCCAACGATGAAAATCAAGAAAATGATTGGTGATAGTGTTTGATATGACCAATCTGTAGTGAGCCGTTTGGCCTGTATCATTTATTATTATTATTATGGTGTTTGGGTGGGTCTTTTTAACAATGTGATTGAAGAGCGTCTTTTAACTAATGCAAATACATGAGAAAGTTATTTGTGTTGCTGGACGCGTGTGTTATACTGATGCTCAATGTGTTATAGATGGCACTTTCTTTTTTATCAACATAGGGCCAACGTTCATGGATGATAACATAAGGCTTCGGAGATTTTTTTGTTATGGTTGTCTTAGGGTTCTCTACGTGTTCGTGATCCTTTGTGTTTGTGTTTCAGTGTGCTTATAAGGATCAACTACTTTATACTGTGATTTGAATGAAAAAATTCTCAAAAAACATAGGGCCAACGAGAAGAGACGAGTATAGGGTAGAGGGCCACGTCACTTTTCTCCTTCCCTGCTCAGTCCAGCTCTCCTCCCAAACAGAGCAGCGCCGGAGGGGAGGAAGGGGAATCAGGAAGGGGCAATGGCGGAATCGAACTCGTACGAGGAGCAGCGCCGGAGGCAGATTGAGGAGAACCGCCGGAAGCTGGAGGAGCTCCGCCTGCACCATCTCTCCGCCGCCGTCCGCGAGGCCGCCGCCAGGCCCAAGCCCAACCCCAAGCCCAGGCCGGTTCGTCAGATCCTCTCCCTTCTTCTTCCTTGCCTCCGGTCTCCCATCTCCCTTTTCTCCCCTACTTATATGACTGCTGCCGCAGAAGCGCAAGGCCCCGGAGCCCGGCGAGCTCCGGCGGTCCGGCCGCGTCGCCGGCCTCCCGGAGCAGCCCAGCTACCTCGAGGGCGCAGGGCAGCGCGACTACCGTGGAGTGTACGAGGCATACGCTGTTTGGAAAGGACCGACCGAGGAGGAGAGAGCCGGCGCCATCGCCAAGGCGGAGGAGCTTCAGCGCCGGATCCACCGCATCCGCTGCCCCGCCTTCGTCAAGCCCATGACCCACAACTGCGCCAGCAAGGCAGCCGAGATGGTACAGTATTGTATCAAGAAAACTCGCACTGGGTGTGAGGCAATGTGGTTCTTGGATCGGATTGGATTTTGATTTGGTGGGTTATATATATGCATCATGACAGAAAATCCCCAAGCACTTCAGTGAATATCTCCCGGCGCACGATGAGGGAGTCGTCTTGGTGGACGAGGCGGATGACGAGTTCCACATGATGTACAATGCCCACAGACAGGGCAGACACTACTATTTCCACAAGGGGTGGAGAGGATTTGCCGCCAACCATGACCTTGCCGTTGCCGATTGCTTGGTTTTCCACATGACAGAGAGGGCAAAGTTCAAGGTGAGATTCAGCATCTCCTCCATTCCATGGATAAATTCGCCCGACTTTTTACTTTTAGGAACTCCACATTCAGTACCAGTGCATATATAACTTTGTAAGGTGATATCCATAATCGGAAGTTTGAAACTAGTGAGCTGTGTCTACTTATTCATATATGGGAAATTGGGCCTGTTTGGAAAACTGCCAATTAATTCTACACAGAGTTTGCAGGAAATGATGTTATTGCTCAGCACCCCTACAGTATAAACCTTCATTCCAACCAGATCTAAAGGGCCTCTCATTATTATTTCATTCATAAGCCTTTAATTGTCCAGTCATATCTTTTTACATAATGGAAGGGATTCTTTTAAGGCCTAATCCTGAGGAGGTCGTTTTATCTCACTGCTAAGTGCATATTGTGATGCAGGTCTACATTTTTAGAGCAAACCCAGACTATGAAAGCGACCAAACTTCTGATGACTCTGAGGATGAAGAGTAATAAAGATGTGTGCTTCCAATACAATGTTCGATCGGAGCAGGTACTTTGTTTTTACCATTGTTTTCCTTCCTAGGTTGAATTTCTTTCCATCGTTCACTTAGGTTGAACCGTTGAAGTGTGCCTGAGTTAAATATTTCTTTATCTTTTGCTGAGGCATCGATTTCATGATTGGCCAAGCTCAGTTTGCGGACAAAAATAAAACATACAAACCCGCTTGCTTATGAGTTATGGCCAAACATAACTGTGTTTCCTGCACTGGAGTTGGATGTTTTCGCGAAACGCACTGCTAGTTTCTCCCATTTCCCTATTGATTTGAGATTTCGAGCCTGGCAAGTGAAACTGCAACCTTATTTTGTTTCTTGCTTATGTGAGCCATGAAAATACACGGGGAACTGCAGTTTATTTACAAACGTTGGAGTTCTCACTGGCCAAACGCCCAAACTAACCGATTGACATATTAGATGCGCGTGTATAGAAATTGAAAACTGCCGGGAGTGTTTCTCGGTCAGTAGTAGCAGGTTGTCGTAGACCCGATGCTCTTCGCGAAGGTTCTGCCTGTCTTACCTCAGTCGGCCCCCTTAGACTCAATCAGCAGCTCGGTAGTAGTAAATAGAATGCTCTCTTATATGGTTCTGATTTATCCGTATAGATGCTAACATGCCAAATGTGTCTTTTGTTGCAGTTTCTAGGAGAAGGATGTCACGCTCTTGGCTGATGTTGGAGTTGGCTACCGCGATTTTGTGTTGGTTGCGTGTCGCATACTCGGACCCTACCAGTGTGGCAGACCTGCATTATAACATAGGTTAGATGGGATTAGTAGGTAGTGCAGACCTTGTGTTGGTTGAACTAAATGGTTGTAGTCTGACGATGGTCTCGAGTGCATTCTTTCGTGGCTGTTCCTGTTTGTTTTTGGCTTGGGTTTGATGGTTGCAAGATGGCGATGCGAACACAACGTTGTTTCGTTTGGTGACTAATGGGCGCAGGGCTAAGGATTTTATCCCTGCCCGGCTATTAGCCTGACATAGCTTGCCAAAGTTTTGCTTTGAAGTTCGCTCGCCTCGTGGCATTGCCATGGAGGTTCTCACTGCTCTTGCCATCAAAGTGGAGGATCTGAGTGTTATAAGCTCGATGCCTGGTTGCACCCCTCTACAGAAGGCTCTTGATTTATGCGGATGATGTTGTGTTGTTTATTAGACCTTCGAGA